TCCACGAGCGCAGGAACTTCGAGAGGCTGTACGCGTAGGCCTTCGCTTCGGCCACGCACTCTGTCACTGATCTCAGGACGCTCATTTTGTACGGTTTTGTCTCAGTGTTTCGTCTCGAAAAGCACCTTGTGTTGCCCTTCTGGTTGATCCAGAACGTGAACGATAATTAAGAAACTGTTCATTACATGTTTCCAAGTATTCCTGTGTAATAGTGCATGCTGTCCTAACGTATATATAGTGATAGAAAATCTATGACAAAGAAATCAGCTAAATAAAATAAAGGCAGGAATCAGAACTCATGCATTCGGTTGCATATGTAATTATGTTTGCAAATTATAATGCTTTAAACCATACCCCGATTGCAACGATGCAAGCATACTAACTGATGATGGCTATTGCTATTTTTGCCCGTGAGCCTTTTGTTCAAATTGCATAAAATCTCTCTCTCTATCTATTTATATATCCATCCATCTATTTATCTATCTCTTTCTCCCTCTCGCCCTGCCTTGCCATCTCTCTCCCTCTCGCTGTTTACGTTAAATTTTGCGTTGATATTCTGCAACATCCGCTGCCAACTTAATGTGCAAAAATGTCATTATTTTGTGTACAATTTACATTCATTTTCTATTCCCTTTCCGATTACAAAGTTTACTTATTTTTTGGTGAAATAGAGAAATACATTTGGTTTTGTATACATTTTTTTACGTTTCTCTTTCTTGCTCTTTCTTCTGTGTCTATTTTGTTCTGTCTCTCTGTTTCCTTTTTTATCCTGAGATACATTTTCAGGTCAGGTCAGGTCGCCCGTGCTCTGACCTGTGTCTATCGCTGGTCGGTGACATTGCAAACTGGAAATTAATGTGAATTATTTTTTATATAATGAATATGTCTAAATAAAGATACAATTTGAATTTCCTTTCCTCTTTTCCCGAATATTATCAGTATATACATACAAGGATGGTTTGCATGAGCGATAAGGGGGTAAAATACATGTCTTTATGTAAAAAATATGTACTCCTAATGATAATGCTGATAATGATACTGAAATGAAAATACAGATGATAATGATGGTAGTGCCATGGTAATCGTAATGACAATGATTGATGGTGATGAAGACGATGATGATGATGATGGCAATGATAATGAAGATGATGATAATGGTGATGATGATGATGATGATGATGATGATGGTAATGATAATGCAGATGATGACGGTAATGATAATGAAGATGGTGATGGTAATGATGATGACAATGATAACCGTGATAATGCTAATGATGATAACATTGATAATGATGTTTATGACGATAATGATAGTATAATAATGATGATAATGATAATATCAATATTGACCATGGTGATAGTGACAATAAAAATAATAATGATAACAGTGAAAATTATAATAAGAATAAGAATAAGAATCTTAGTGATAATGATAACACTGATAATGAAATAAGAGTAATGATGATAATAATAATGATAATAAAAGAAATAAAAAAATACGATACTAAATAATGATACATGATAAAAATAATGATACTTATGATGATAATGATGATGAAAATAATGATGAAAAATTAATAATATATGATAATAATGATAATCATTATCATTGTTCTTATTATTGTTATCATCATTATTATCACCAACATAATTATCATTATTATTATTATTATTATTATTATTTCAATAATTATTGTTATCATTATTATTATTATCATTATCATTATTATTATACTATCATTATCATTATTATTATTATCATTATTATTATTATCATTATTATCATTATCATTATTATCATGATTATTATCATTACCCTTATTATTGCTATCATTATTGTTATTATAATTTTTATCATTATTGTTGTTATCATTATTATAATTATTATTTTCAATTTAATCCTCATTATCATTGCCATTGTCATTATTTTTAAAATCATTAACTTATTTATCATCATCGTCATCATCATCATCATTATCATTATTTCTATCATGGTGATGATAATAAAGATAGCAATAATAGTAATAACAATAACAATAGTGATAATGATAATGATGATAATAACTATAATAATAATAACAACAATAATAATAATGATGATGAGGATAGTAACAATGATAATGATAATGATGATAACGATAGTGATAATAGTGGTAATGCTAACAATAAGTAAAGTAATAATATTGATGATAAGAACAATGATAGTAATGATAATGATAATAACAACAATGATAATAATGATAAAGCCAATATATAATAATGATAAGAATTATAATACTAACAATAACAATAATGATAATGATAAGGATGACAATTGAATAGTAATTGTGATGATGATAAGTGATTATAGCAAATTATATCACGTTGATAATATCATACATTCAGAATACAGTAATGATAATAAGAATTGCTAACAATCGCATATAGATCCTCATTTCTTAGGTCAATTAAACGTTATTTCGGCAAGACCTACATACCATACGTCCCACAGTTTTATATACCTAATCCCTGCTCGCGACGCATTTATTTCACAATCGATTATATTTCACAATGGCGTACTTTACTCCTCTCTTCCCAAAATAAACTTGTTTGTGTACCATCAGGAGATCCATTTGCTTCATGATTGGCCATGAAATTTGCAATGGATGATGGTACAATGGGATTTTAATTAATAGTGAGTCGCCATCACGGGTTCGAAACGGAGAAATAACCGTCCATTTCCCGCCAAAATGACCCTCGTTTATTGCTGAGATGATGGCGGCTCTTAAGATCAATCAGCGTGCGTTAAAGTATATTTCTAAATGCCTTTCATTCTGTTTTATCATTTTCCTTTTCCCTCCATTTCGTTATTGTATATGATTTTCTCATAAAGATCAAATCACTTTAAATATTCATTAAGGATGGTTTCTGTATCCGTGCTTTGGAATGTATAAAGGGATGTTTCTTTTCGGTTACGCTCTGAATCCCTCTTTAAGTGTAGCGCATTTACCTACTTACAGCCGGGAGATATAAAGGCTAAATTTGTCCCACCGAGAAATGAGACGAAGAGGGGGATTATATAGTTTTTTTCCGCCACGTGTCTCTTCTTATTATTTATATAATTATGGTCATTACTATTGCTGCTATAATAATAACATTTATAATTAATATAATTATTATCATAACTCTTAATATATCATTATCTTTGCTGTTTCTTCTTAACTATTACTATCATCTTTGTCATTACTATCATTAGTATAGTATCTTTATCATCATTATCATGATTGTTTTTATTATCACCATTATCACTATTATATCACCATGATCATTATCATCATTACCATATTCGTCGTCATTTTCATCACATTACTACTTAACCTTATTTCCTGCCCTTGCACATTTCTCTTATCGTCTCAACGCCTTGTGATGAATGTTCGTGAAGTACATCCTCTTTTTAAACTTGTGTGTACTTGTAAGCGTCACAAGATGAGCTTCCTCCCCGGATGTCCATGTCAAGAGAACCACATATGTTGCACTACGTTATATTCATGTGCGCGGTTGTCGCAGTTAACCTACACACACTCTTGCTGAGTTTGTCTATGCAGTGAGTTTTCTAGTTCCAAACATATGTCTGCAATTGAGGTCTTACCGCATACATGTTTATGCATACATGCATGAACATATAAATGAATGAATATAAATGATATATACACATACATATACATATACGCACATATATACACATATATATATATATATATATAATATATATATATATATATATATATATATATATATATATATGTATATATGTATATATATATATATATATATATATATATATATATATATATATATATATATATATATATATATATACATACATAATATATATATATATATATATATATATATATATATATATATATATATATATATATATATATATATATCTGTGTGTGCGGCGTGTGCGTGTGTGTGCGTGTGCGTGTATGTGTTTAGATACTCTAATATATGACAGGTAGATTTGGCATTGCAAAGATATCACAACTTTTCTTATTGCGCATTATGGTGCATACCCCCCACCCCCCCAAAAAAAAGTAAATAAATAAATAAGTAAATGAAATAAAATGAATGAATAATAATAATTATAATGATAATGATAATAATAATAATAATAATAATAATAATAATAATAATAATGATAACAATAATAAACAATACGAATGAAAAGCGACAAAAAATTAGATTATACAACATATATACATTTTTTTCATGTAAGTAATGGTCAGTTAGATATATACACAACTCAAGATATTGAGATATAACTTAGGTGTTTATATCACCGTCAAGTTTTCAAGACGTAAAAGAAACAAATTATTTAAGCCAATGGTTCCTAGCATTTTTACAATCGCGGACCCCGCTAAGAATTAAATGAAAGCTTTGGACCCACTTTCCTCAGATATATTCACAAATAAAAGTTGGCACGCACTGTGTATACTTTGTTTATTGATATTTGATTGTCTCATACATATATGAAATACACAAAGTATTATTAAACTTTGCGGTAAATAGTCTTATGCAAAATGTGTAGCGAATATAAATGTTAATTTTTACCTGATTCTCACGGACTCCCTAAAACCCACCCATTGCCATAAATAAGACAGCCATGGGCACAAACGTTTAAGATATTTAAAAGCTAAACTAAGCAAAGGCAAAAAACTGAAACTATAAGAATATTCAAAACAGGAAAGAGATCACTCAAGCAGCAAAATCAGCCGTGTTGACTCAAAAATGAAAGAGGAAGTCGAGTGCAAGTCCGGGGCACGACACCAAGATCTGTTCCACGTCCTCCCTCATGATAGACGTCACAGATAACATAACATTACAACTAGTTTCGTTCACGTTTCTGAAGCGTTCCACAGGCATCCCTTTTGAAAAACCTTTTCTAAGACGAAGGTTTATAACATAAACCTGGTATTACGAACTGATGATGTACACTATTCCCCGCGTGAGTAATT